TCATATCTTTATGATTATAATAATGCTTTATTATTCAGTATCTTCTAGGAACTAATCATGGCAGAGAGGGCTAATGTTAACTTAAAATACCACAGAAAATCCTACTTCAGTTTTATGCCTATTTGGTAATATTGTAAAAGTAGATTTTATGCAAATTAAAAAATCCACCAAGGGTTAAAACTTCCTACTGAAAGAAAAAGCTAGTCACACACAAGCCATCTGCAGTCATTTCATACGTGATGGGTTGTAGCCCCATTATGAGTTCAGTCAATACTCCAGAGTTCTTGTCAGCTGGCCTCAACATTGCACAATGGCATCCAAGGTTTTGGCTCTCTTCCCGGATATTCTGTTCTTGGTTTTGCAGTCTGGAAATTTGCTGAGCACAGTGCTTGGGTTAGTGACTTCTTGAATGTGACACTGCTTCCACTGTGTGTCCAAAGGCTTTGGGATGGTAATCTTCAGACACACTGCAGCTGTCAGCTCTCTACTGGGTTGGAGGTTTTGGCAAGAAAGTAGGAGGAGGAAGAAGATCTCTGGGGGGGAGGGGAGTGTCCAGTTGTATACCTGGACATGCTGGAGTTCCTGCCGGGGATCTTTATCATTAACAAGCCAATGGGCTGAAAAGTTTTCTCTGGCAAATGGCCACTTCATAAAATTCAGACAAAACTTTGTAAACTGGGTACCTTCCTCCATGACCTGGTTCAGTTACCATGGAAGAGCTGAGAGCCTGCCTTAGTTACTGGACTTCTTAGGACTCAAGTATGTGCTGGCACACTAATGAGGGATTTTTTGGATGACAATTTAAAAAATTTCAAAACAATTATTGTATTCATCTTCTTGCTTCAGCAATACTTTCTCAGGGACACATGCACCGAACGGCTAATTGAAAGTTTTTAAAAACTTTCTGCAGCAATGTGGTAGACATGCTTAAGAACATTCTTTAGCTCATTTTTCCCCCTCTGCAACAAAAGGCCCTATGTTCTAAACTTGAACACTACACAAGAATCTGGACAGTATGGAGTGATGAATGCTTCCCTTGTTTAGTGCAACCAAAAAGGAGGACAAAGGCCAAAAGTAAAAACCCAGGAGCAAGTTCTAAGTAAATCAAAGGCATATGAAATATTTAACCATTGAGGCAAAGACAAGACCGCCCAGTCTGGCTAGTAAAAGGATAAAGATGAGCTGTGAAGGAGACAGCTGTTCAACCTGATGGTTCACGGGTTTGCTCAAGATGGAGAATGTTGCCAAAGTCATGACTCTCCCGAGCACAGAGCAGAGATGGTGTGCTGGGGTTGCTTATCACGCTCCTGTTATTCCCACTATGATGGAGATACTATGGGCTCTACTAGGTGCCCAAAACATGAGAAGTTAAAGACAGGTGAGGTAAGACCACGAGCAAAAAGAAACTATTAAAACAGGCTAGACAAAGGCATGTGCGTCCTGACAGCATCTCCAATTTCAGGAAAACAGCAGCATACATTTCATGATTTTCCAGCCCATCTCAACCAATCAGATGGAGGCATTGTCTCAACTGAGGTCCCCTCTTCCCAATGACTTTAGCCTGTACTAAGTGGACAAAAATCAACCAGCACAATGGAGAATACTTTTTGCAAACATGACTGTACTGTGTCTTTGCATCTTGGGAGCTGCCTTCTGTATTCGTAGATAATATGTTGCAAACTCAACAAATCTCAGATAAATTGCAACCTAAATGTATAGAGCTTCTGAGAGGAAAGTAAAACATGATTATTTATAAAATAATTATTTATACAAAGAATTCTGGTTCCTTTTTCCGCCACATTTTTAAACTTGGTGCATGAGTGTGTGGGTATGCGTTCACACACGTGACAAGCTACAGCTCGAGCATGAAAATCAAAGGTCAGTGCCCTCCTTCACATGTGTTCTGAGCAGTACAACTCAGGTAGTCAGGGTGGCAGAAAAGGCCTTTACCCACACAGTCATCAAGCCTGCCACGGTTCCTCTTGACAACTTCTAATTTAAAATTTGTAGAGTCCTTAGAGGCTTCTATGTAAGTGAGAAACTGAGTGTATTAGTAATCTACACACACATATACAAAGAACATTATATGAAGAAAATGCATGTTAGAGGACCAAACCATTGTAGGATCTAAGTTCTGGAAAGATTTCATACTGAACACAGTGTGTTTAGGCTGAGGTAGCACAGCTGGCTCTTCCCTGAGCTGTTACCTCCTAGGTAATGCTGTGTAGAAGCTGCTCACAGTGACAGGATCACAAACAATGGGGGCAGAGACGTGTACTCAGAACCAAAGCCAAGGCAAGCCAAGCCAGTGTAACTACCTAACACACTGTCAGTGTTTTGCTTTTGAAACAGGCACACTGGTACTGTCAGGAGCTGTTTCCCCCCCAAATTATTATAGGAACCATCGCCCTGGGGAGTCTGCAGAGAACCCCACACCCCCAATTATACTGAGAATTGTTCTATTGACAGAGCCTACCCTACACCCAATTAGATGTTAATAGAGAGCTGTTAGCGGAACCCGCCCCACACTCCAAACTATCTAGAAAACTAGGTGTGTCAACCTGTGAACTCCTGGCCTATGTGACCGTGGACCACACGGCAAGATTCCATGCCCCCACCCCCATCCCAAGCCAAACTCCTTATCCTATATAAGCTGTAACCCTGTCTCTAATAAACAGAGGCTCTGACAAACCTAGCATGGTCTCCTTCTTCTCTCTCAGCCCATGGAGAGCACCTCTCCGGGACCCTAAAATAACGGATCAGCCAGGCGGGTTACACCCCTAGACTGAGTAACCCGCCGAGGCGGTTACATGGTACAAAATAGGACAGGACAGGAGGTTCTACTCCTTGCGCAGGATGGAAACACTGCTTGTAAGATAAAGGTTCCAGGTGAGGGTGAAGCTATAGGATGAAGGAATCACTTGTGACCAGTACTTCCCCAGCTACAGGAGCAAGCGGTGTCAGCCATGTTTGCAGCCTTCACCTGCCTCTGCTTTCCTAGAGCTGTGACTAACGGCAGCTGTCACCATCCAGGCTTGAAGAAACTTTTGAATTTGTCACTTCTCACTTATTTTCTGGTATGACACTCACAGCCCATGCTTTGGAAAACTGATCTTTATAACTGCTCTGGCTTCAGCACTCGATGAATCTTTCCTTGGAGACCCCACCACTTCCCTGTCTCGCTGGGCACTGCAGTGTCTCCTGTCATGCTTGCAGTCTCTGCTCTTCATGACATCTGCTGCTGTGTGTGAAACTGACAGGGTTGGACCAGGTGACTCAAATCTATACAGTCTGGGGGTGGGGATGCTGGAGAGGAGGCAGAATGGTTAACAGAGGACCTGGCTTCAGGTTCCAGCACTTACCTGGTGGCTCACAATTCCAGGGGACTCAGCACCCTCTTCTGATCTCTGCTGGCACCAGGCACACACATAGTGGTTTTGCAGGCAAAACACTTGTAGACATAAAACAAAATCCAAAGTAATTTTTACAAATTGTAGGTAAACTGTGAAACTTGAGAGTTCTTTGAAAATCTCCACTGAGAATCAAGACAACATGTACACACTCAGGTCGCTGCCGTCACAATACCAAGGTTTTTCTTAGGGGCTGTGTTCTCTTATGTGAGTTTCATGGTTCAAGTTCAGCCTGAGTCCCAACCGGTTCCTGGCAGAAGCCAGGGGTCAGAATGGCAACAGAGCAGGGACATGAGATACAAAACAGGAACAAGCAAATCACAACTAATCCATACTCAGTTTGGTGTGTTTTTTTTTTCAATTGCTATTAGTATAATACCTTTCTTAGCTTGATTATTAACATCTCATCATTCTTTGGCCTATTTCCATAAATATGGTTAAGATTCAAAAATATTTTAAAGATCTTTTGGTCAGTTTTTCAAGTTTTGAAATGTCTTATTCATTAGAACTGGTGAGGAGGGCCAACTGCTTATCTTCAACAGGCGTGCCAGTAACAGCTGCTTGGTCTGACGCCACTCCAGGGGCTTAGGCGTCACTGCAGTAGTGACAGTGTCGTAGCAGCTGACGCGGCACTCATTTTAAACATTTCAAGTGTGTATGCATGTGCGAGGGCATGTACAGACTAGGACATTAGTGTCCTATGGGTTCTGGGAACTGAACTCAGGCCATTAGGCTTCGCAGGCATCCCATTGGCTCACCATTTCTTTGCCATGGCACTGGTTTGTGTAGAGCAGCTCAGGCTTGCTTCAGACTCCCCGTGTAGCAGAGGATGACCGAAACAGGATCGTCCTCACCTCTACCTCCCAAGTGTGCTCTGGGTTTGTGTGCCGATGGGGTAAAACCCAGTACACTGAGTTACACCTCTACCCCGCCTTTAGCCCAGGCTAACCTCAAACTCATAGCAACCACTCTGCCTCAGCTTCCCATGTGTTAGGATTACAGAGGCACACTCCCACACCGTTTGGCGGTGGAGTTAAATGCTTTACGGATAAGGGTGGTTTTGTCAATGAGAAAGAGACTGACGAGGGTTTCTGGGTCTGAGGCCTTTGAAGCAAGCACAAAAGCTAACCTTTTTTAAATTAAAAAAGACGATTTATTTTTACTTTGTGTGCACCGGTGTTTGCCTGCACGTATGTCTGTGTGATGTTGCTGGATCCCTGCAACTGGAGTTACAGACAGCTGGGAGCTGCCATGTGCATGCTCCGAGTTGGACTAAGTTCTCCAGGGGAGCAGCCAGTGCTCTTACCCACTGAGCCATCTCTTCAGCCCCAAAGCTAACTTCCTGATAGAGATTAAAGTCAAGATTCTCAAGGCTTGGAAAGCCAGCATATTTTGCAATTATATTCTAAAATGCAGTTAAAACTGGATTATAAGAAAAGTGCAATCACTGCTAAAGCTATGAGTAAAAAGCCTTAGGAAGGCCAATTTTAAAGGAAAAATAGGATTTAACTCCAAACAGTCCCCTTATCCAACCTAATTGAGTTAAAGTTGGTGTGATCAATACTCAAGAGACTCAGCATGAACACAGGGTAGAGAATAGAATTTTAATTAGTATCAAAATCAGGACTTTTAGGGGCCAGTTTAGTACTTGCTGGAGTAAAACTGTGAACTGTTACTTGATAATTGACTTAGCTTCTAAATCAAGTCAGAATTACACATACTTGGTATATTTCTTTAGTATACACCAACATATCCCATGATTACATGCAGACATGGAAAGACAAGAACTATAAAACCAAAATCGGCATCAATATTGATGAAATGATGAACCGGAAACAGCTGTCCAGAGATGCAGAACATCTGTTCTTTACTGAAGGCGTGGTTTGAGCCCTGCTCTCTCCCGGAGTTACATAAACTCCAGCAGTGAAACCCAACAACTCTGAGATGTGAGGAAAAGCCTTACTCCTTTCATTGACACTTGATGCGCTCACCCACCTTTAACAACGGTCAGAAGAAACGGGTTCGGCATTCCTGAGAATTAGATGAGACCTGCTAAATAAATAGGCAATGAAAATGACCTGAGTTCATAGCAACCTCCAAACTCAAAAGACGACGCCCCAGCTCTCCTGACAGTCATCAAAAGCCTCTTGGTCACGTGGCGCCGACATCCTTAAACACTAGAAATAAGTGCTGCATGCTGAACAATGAGCCGATAGCACTAAGGGCGAGGAGTAACAGCCACAGAAAGTCGCGGGCTCTGCCACGCTACAGAGGAAAGAGCAGGGCAGATGTGGGCTGACTGGCTCTGTTCCCTGCAGCTACAAATCCCTGCCTTACACAGGAGGAAAAGACAGCACCTTGTGTGGAGTCTAGGGAGAGCTACCCAGAGGCAAGTGTTGGCCATAGCGAGAACAGCTACTGCCGCCTTCAGTGAGTCTAGAACCTATCTGTAGGTGACGCTGGGCTGTTATTCTCCAGCTCACTCACATCTGCAGACTGTTCAGGGTCACGTGTAGCACAGAAAAGGAGATGGTCTGTCTGCCTTTCATGCAAACTCTCTCAATTTGCGGTGCAACCTAATGCAAGGCACTTCAAACACTGGTGCCTCAGTATGTAAACATGCGACTTAGTAACATGTGTTACTTACCTCAGGGATCATCTACACACAGCACAGAATGCACACCAGATGAAAAGCACTGTGGAAACCTGTCGCTTCCTATGCCCAAGTCTCCATGTTTTCTTTAGAGCGCTAAATATTAATGATGGTGGAATTATATCCCTTGACGTGTTAGCTCCTTGGCACACAGGTTTTACATATTTCAAGTCATCATACGCTCTAGCCCAAAGGTGTTTTCTTAACAGAGCCAATGCAGTGTACCCAACGTGGAGTCCCTGTGTTGAAACTCTCAGCTTTCTCTGAGGTACATGTGACATCATAAAATAAGAAAAAAAAATTGAACTAGTACTGTGTAAAACCATGTTTTTAATGAAAAACAAAACAAAAACAAACAAAAGCCCCCAAAACCTGGAAGTATGCCACAGCATCATCTGGTCATCTAAAGGGACAGAGGTGGATTGAGAAGAAAGGGCCTCAACATGATACAAAATAAATGTGGCTCAAAAGAAACATTAAAAATGTAATGTTTCATATGCTGAAATAACTAGAGGTAATAAATTATAAGTACAGTAGTTCAAATATTGCTTTTTAGCATTAGTTGTTTTTTAAAAAACAAGTTAAATTTAGAACATTTTAAATTTGTTATATTCTTCTTTCAAAGTAACTGTGGACATGGAAACCTTCACAAAATCAAACCCCATGATGCCACCCTGTGGTCTTCACACAGAATGTACTCAACTCTGACCACCTTAGAGTCACAACATCTGTAGGTCAATACACTGTATCAGACTCCTTCTGGAGAGCTGGGCTGCGATGGAAAGATGGCTGCTTTCCCCACACCTGAGCCCTCCACACTTCCACGCCTGCTGATTCTCTGCAGGGGCTTTGCTAGACTCACAATCAAAATTACAGAAACAGTAAATAATTTCTTTAGAACTGAAAATGTGTTTTTGTTCTCTTTTGAAAATAAAGTGCTTTTAAATTAAAGTATTTCTTGCCCTAAAAAAAAACTGGAACCTTTAACTCTCCATATCTTGACACATTTTAACAGAAAAAAAAAAGTATTGGGCCATTCATATCCTTCAAGAGTTCAGATTGGATCCAGGCTGGGCTTTGTGTCGTTACCACGCTCGTGCTTGTACATGAATGTTAAAAGAAAAAGAGCAACGTCCAAGGATGACCAGTAGGCAGTGTGCGACGTGACGGCTGACCAGTAGCGGCTCTCCACAAGGCCTTCTCGGAGTTCAAAGTCAATCCTGTGCTCCAGCTCCACTGAAAAGACAAGAGTTAGGTAAGATTACCAAGTGTCTGAGGAAGGCTGGGGACGGCTGGGTGGAAACAATTTCTAAATTGTCACCCTCTACTCTAAATCATGAGGTAGTAAGAGTCAAAGCGGTCAGGGTTCTACTGGGGTTCTGCTCCACTGTCCAGGTCAGCAAGGAATAATGAGGAAACAGACAAACACACTCACTTGCTACCATGGCATTCTTCTGGAGTTGGAGGACTATTTCTACCTCCCTTCCTTGAAGACCTTGCATCCCCGGAGAAACAGGGAGGCTCCACAGAACACACGTTTCTGTGGGGAAACACTCCACGGCAACCATTGAGATGTCTTTTAAAGTTAACTACTATTATTTCACAGCTCCAGTGTCCTGCCCCTGTAGGCTGGATTCCTTAGAGGCAGCTGCCAAACAGTTCAGACTATGGCATTTAGTGGGGTCTAGCCTGTGCTGTGATATTCAAGTACTCAAATGAACCCACTGTGGTGGGAAAAGTTAAACTGTACTCGCAAAACTGGAAAAAAACTGAAGAGCCCCAGGCTCTCCTAACGGGCTAACGTAAAGGACCTCAGAGGTGGAATGCCTTCCAGGCTATACACACTTGCAGAAAACACCCACACAGAACTTTCACAAAGTTCTTTTAACCCAAATTTTTCACTTAATTAAAATTAATTCATAATAAGTCAGAAATAGCTGAAATCCATATGGATTTAGTTAAGAATGCCCCAAATCCTTTAATTTTGTACTCCATAGGCCTTCACGAGATTTGTAAGCACAGTCACCCACACCAGACCAGAATATGAAGATGAGAAAACTGAATTCTCAAACATGATACGAGGAGTCAAGATGAAGTGGGTCACAAAGACAGAAAAGCGGCAAGTGTGTGATCTGGGAGGACTCAACCTCAAATGCTCCTGCCTAGTCCAAAACTCTGCACAATGCTTTCAAATCAAAGGCTCATTTTTCTTGCATTAGGAATTACTTGGCTCCACTTTGATTTTAAAGTCCTGAAATTAATTCTTTTTGTGTTTGTTTTTGTGACAAGATTTCTCTGTATAGCCCTGGCTATCCTGAACCTTGCTCTGTAGACCAGGCTGGCCTCGAACTCTCAGAGATCCGCCTGCCTCTGCCTCCTGAGTGCTTGAATTAAAGGTGTGCACCACCACCACCCAGCCTGAAATTAATTCTTAATGTGCTACCACTGTCCTAAAACGCTGCTTTCATAAAGTGTTATCTATTTATTATGGCCCTTGTCATCCTTGTCACCTCTGCAAACATCAGCTATGATGTTACCTAGACTGGCCCCATCTGTGCTTTTCTGCTTATCTCTGGGCTTGGGTTAGAGCAATCAAAATGCAAATTAGGCAGCCAGCTTTCCTTCACAAATGTGCTCTGTCTCAACTTCCTTTGGTCCTCAGTGCAGTTCCTGTACACCTTGCTGGCTTTGTGCAAAGACCAGGGAAGATCAGGGATGAAATGGAGTGGGTCTGGGTTGTTTTCCTCACTTCCTTTTATACAGAATCTCCAAGGGAAAGAGGAGCTCCATGGCAGTACCACTTTATAATGCTGTACAATATGCTCTTGGCCAAAACAGGTTCGGACGCGCAGGTGGCCCTGCTGTCTCAATTCTGTCACACCGAGACTTGTTAGGACAACACAGGAGATGGACTCTCCTAGTTTTTCTAACTTTCTGGGATCATGGGGAAAGGAAAAAGGAAAATTACCTTTTCTTCTTTTTCTATGCTTCAAATACCTAAATGTAAAATCTGTTCAAAACAAACCGAACCTTGTTCCTGAGCAGGTGGAGAGAATAAAGCCGAGAGAGCAGCTGCAGTTGAACGTAGGTGTGTGTGTGTGTGTGTCTGTGTACATCCAGGCCGAGTGACAACTTTGGGCGTCCTTCCTTAAGTGCTGGCCTTTTTTGTTTGCTTCTTCGGAGAGCATCTCTCATCGGCTTAGAGCGTGTTAACTAGGCCAGGCTGGCAGGCCAGTGAGGGCCAGGGATTCAGTCATCTCTGCCCACTCAGAACTGCAGGTACAAACATATACCACCATGCCCGGCTTTTAAAGAGTGGGCTTTGAGGCTTGAACTCAGTTTCTCTTGCAAGGATTTTTCTGACTGAGCTATTTCTCCAGCCCAATTAAATTATTTATTTATTTATTTTGGGGGAGGTGTTAGGCTATATGACTAGTGGCTGGGGATACTTAGGTGACTTCTTGAGGGAGTTCACTGAGTTAGGTCAATACAAACTCTGCTCTGGAGGCCAAAAAGGACCCAGTATGTTATACTCTTTGAGTATCAAGTAATATGGATTTTGATAATTGAAAAATTAAAGGTGGATAAAATAACAAAAGAAAACCCTGAACATCAAAGATAAAAATTCAGTATTAGTAAGAAAAAGATGAAAGAGAGAGAAACTACAGAAGAGCAAGAATTGGTCAGCAAAGGAACTGTAAGCTGTAAGACCAGTCCTTAGCGGCAGATTGGGAGTGCTGGAAAGGGAGACTGAGAACGCGTCTGCATCAGTATTGCTGTGTTTAAGATGATCCAGCCTGGCGGAGGCCATCTGTGCTTGTATTAGGATGAGCTGTGGGGCAACCAGGAGCAATGCAGTTCTTTGTACCAGGGAACCTTTTTATATCGACATGAAAAGAAGAGTGGAATGTCTGCGGTCTCGAGGACAATAAAGAAGACAGACAGGGGCCTAATGCCGTCCTCCTGTCTCTGAAGTCCTCTTTTGTAGGCGTGCTGTATTTCTCAACACTGAAGTGAAGATGAGAAAATGCACATAGAGTCCGCAGTGACAGCACTGCGGCTGCTCTCCCAGAGGCTAGCCCAGTTCTCACTGAGCTGATCTCTAAAGCAGACCATTTTCACAGTGTGCGGAGCACCACCCCTGACATATACCATACCGAGGCTATCATCTTTACTCTGCATTACATTTTCCGGAAAAAGAAGTTGTGGGAGATAAAAGAACGATTCTTGAAGTCTGAAATCTGTGAAAAAAAACAAACAAGATGCTGTAAAGGCAAGGCTGATGGTTAAAAATGGCCTTCAGTGTTGCACTGGCCAAAATGTTAGAGCTGATGAGCCTAGCACACACACAAAGCAGCACACCCTAGGTCTCTGGGAGGAGCTCCTTCATGGAATACATAAGCACAGCTCAATCTCCAGTCAATGTCAGATCTGCTGATAGCTCCATACTCCTCAAACTTAGTGCTAGTTCAGGTTGTAACCCGGAGGGCGACAAAACAAACGAAAAACCCTACAAGTACAGATCCTTTCCTTTAACATGCTATAAACACAGGGACACAAGAAATGAAACCATAAGACGCTTTAAAATGAGCTGGTCTTTTCAGAAGTGAAGCTCGCTAGTAAGATGTGTCAACTTGATGAGAAAATAAAGACGGTCAACTGACACACTTACTCTTCAGACAGAAAACTTGGTCACGAGTTCAGTCTGTGTCCTCCTCACCCTCAGTAACGAGACTCAAAGACAGTGGCGTCAGAACAGAGGTTATCCTGAAGAGCTGAGACAATCAGTGTGAGGAGGAAGGGAGGAAGGAAACTCAGTCACCTAATCACAACAGCCAAATTCCAGAAAGATTTAAGGGACAAAGTTTCAGGATTGCAAGATAGCAATTATGACATAAAAGTCAGGACTACACAGAAGGGTACACTACTGAGGCAAGTCAAAGAGTTACGGAGACAAAGTCCAAGTGACTTAAGACAGAACCGTATCGCCATAGGCCTGATTTTAATTATTTTAATAGTCCTATCTCTATTGAGAGATGACTACAGAAGACTCAAGATGATCTCAGAGCTGGTACAGACTAAGGTTGGAATTTAACATGAGAACTGCTAAGCATTTACATGGAAACATGATACAACACGGCATGGGTGTAGCTCAGCAGGACTGCAGGCTGCATGCACAGCACACACTAGGGCCTAGGTTTGAGGGAATGCGTGCAGTGATCTGTCCAGCTGAGCACCTAGCGACTGCTGGGTAGGAAGAGCTGTCGCTCTGCTACCATGAGACATGTTCGCTATTATGTACACAAAATGAAAACATCTTCTTTGCTCAGATTCTCTATGTGCTTACTCCTTTTTCTGGGATCTCCGGTGTTGCTGGGAGAGTCTGGCCCCCCTCTTGTTCATCACCATCACCGGTAGCTTGCGGTAGCAAGACTATGGAGAACTGCAGCTTCTTAATACAACCTAACAGAATTCTTTCAGAAGCTAGCAGTTTTGATTTCTGCATGTCCCTAACGCTTACATATTTACAGTCATGTTTCCAGGTCAAAATGAATGAACTCAGTGTAAGAAATCAGGAACATGAGTTTCATACAGATATCAAAGTCTAAAAAGAATAGTCTATACATGGTTCCAACAACTCACAAATATAAATTTAGCACTCGAAAGGAATGAAAAATGCCATTGGCCCAATTAGGAATGCTCAGACCTAATGCTAATCCACCCTGGGGAGGCTGAGTGTGGAGGAACCATGCAGTCTCTAGGATGCCACCCTGACTTGTTCTGGTTGCTGGTCACTTCAAAATTCAGGGAGGCAGACACAGCAAGAACACAATGCTATCAGTAACTGCAATGGAGTCTGTACCGATGACCGAAGCAGTCATTTTCTCTTGCTAGCTGCAGAAAGGGAGCAGCTATGTAAGAACTTGTCTGTCCTTATCACCAGTGGGAATAACCAAAGTGCTAGTACTACTACTAGACACTTAAAAATAACGTTCGCTGATGGATTAGTGTTTCACAGCTATGTAAGATTAAAAAAAAAAAATAAAGTTCATCTTACTGCTACATGTATCTACTCATAGAAATCCCTTTGTATACCAGGTAACCAGGGCAGGAACAGAAGACACAGTAACAGGCCTCTGCTCTGGAGGTCTCATAAAGTTGGATGTGTGTGTGTTTAGCTGCAGGACAGCAGTGTTTCAGAACTCTCAAGGCCAGATACAGGACACGTCTATAATATTAATGGGAAATTTAAACCTTGGTAATTGTAGTAAAAATATACATTGTAAAAGCTAGGGGCACTTACCCCACAGACTGTCTTGTGATGGAGAGCCCTGGTTAAAATGATGTAGTAACTTGTCACTGCAGACACTAAAACTATACTTGCCTAAAAAGTATTCTTTTCAGACCTGAATGCAGACCGCCGGTATTCCTGCCCTCCCCTCCCCTCCTAAACTACAGACCTGAATGCAGACCGCCGGTATTCCTGCCCTCCCGCCCCTCCTAAGCTACAGAGGTAAGCACACAAACTGGAGGAGAACCACAGGAACTAACATGCAGAGTCGAGGAAGCCGGAGCTGCTGTGTGGCAGGGTCTGTGTCGCCACGGTGGTAGTAGCAGGTGAAGCGACAGGCTTCTTCTCATCTTCCACTGTGTCTTTAGATGTCTCAGATGGCTGTGATGTTGAAGAACGTCCGAATCTCGAGAACAACATTCCTCCAAGCCCCTTTCCAATGCTAGCAGCCCCTGTATGTCACAGAATAGGGCAGTCACTCTGCTGACTCACCCCACAGTGCACTGAAGGGCACCACCCAAAACTATAGCCAACTGGCATTTTTCTCCAGGGTGGTGACCTAAAAAATATTCCAATTTCTACTGTAGGTTTTAAAACAAGAATGATGGTTAAAAGAAGAAAAGCTGTATAAATTCTAGGAATACAGATATACAAACACACAACCAAGATATTTTATCCAGATGTTCATTGCTATGGAAGTATTTGGCAAAATTAAAGCTTCAAATAAAAGACCCATGTTGTTGACATGGGGGCATATACCTATTATTAAGAGGTATATGTCTTACTAAATTTATGCTATAAAAAGCCATTAATAACCTTTGAGCATGAAGTCAAATAGTAAGCAAGTTTGGTGGGTAAGGCCTACTTATACTGCCATCTTGTGGCATTTACACAAAGGACACTGGGCCAAAACCAACAAATTCAAGGGGTATGCTATTGGCATGTCCAATTTCTGTGCTGCCACAAGCAGTTACTCAAAGGGAGATGAAATACCCCTGTTGGTCTAGGAAGCTAAAGCACTAATTGACTTGACTTTCAGAAGACATAAACATCCTGATGGGGAGATTCCACCAGAACGCAGAAGAGGAAGTGAAGCAATAAAAACATTTCTCAGGATCCCTCAGTAAGTCACAGGGCCAAGACTACGATGACTGACAGAATGCTGTTTCTTGTTCTTAATGTAACTGGAGGACACCACAGCTTCTGCTTCAGTCAGCAGGGAAGCCTGGACAGATGGAAATTTTCTAACAGCAGATTTCCAACCACCCCCAACTTAAGTGCTTACACTCATAGATAAGAAGCAAGAGAAATTACCCAATATGCTTGCTTTGCCAATGTTAGTTATAGATTCTCCATAGTGGCGCCGTGACATGACCGGGGAGGTCACGGGGCTCGGGATATTTGCAATGCTTTCACTCTCTGAGACTGAGGTAGGTTCTTTTGCTGGGTTGAGGAAGTTTGGCTTCATGTGTTCATAAGGTAGAGGATTTGAGGTGTTGTACCAGTGGATCTGGACCGGGGAAATGTTGCTGTAGTGCTTCAGAATTAGCGGCTCTAGCCTGTAGGCCTAGACATTTAAAAATTCAGAGAAATACAACATTAATGCAAAATGTCTGGACTTTAGTAAAATACTTATTCCTAAAGCTCGGCTGAGTAAGTAAATCTTAGAGCAAGAATTTAAAAAGTGGCTTTAAAATATACTTCCATATTTCTCCCTGCTAATATATGTGGTTGTCTAATTACATATTCCTACTCATGAGACTACAAAAAAACTGGAGTTAGTTTTGACTAATGGTATCTATTAAATCATTTTCAGTGAAAAGGACTAAGGTTTTTTTATTTATTTTTTTTACCACATTCTGATATAATCTAACAAGATTTATGCCAGACTCACAAAGCTGAAGTGGTGGATGATAGCCCAAAACGTAGTAAATAAGATTAGTCTTTAATATTTAGATCTTTTGTTATACTTGATTGCAAACACCTGACTCCAATAAGAAAGCACCTAACTTGGAAGCCAACCCAAGGCTGCCTTCTATAGCAACAAGTCAGTCACCCGCTGTAGGTGCAGCACAGACGCCCACTTCCATCACTAACTGTCATTAGTGGTCTGCCATCCGTTTGGTTACACGATCTCAGAGCCATCTCATAGGAGGAAAAGAGGATGCCTGCAAAACCTGCCCAGCAAAGGTCCACCCGAAGCATTAAAGAAAGTATTAGGGAAAACAATGCAGCTTGTATGCACGCTTAGGACACGTGAAGCTCTAGGTTCAAATCCCAGAACCAAACACAGAGAAGCCTAATTTAAGATGTACAAAGAAAACAGAATTCATGTGTGCAGAAAAACACCTGAACACACAGACATGCTGGTCTCAGTGACCGCCTCGACAGTGCTCTGTATCCAAGCCTCTAACAGATTTAGGCCGCCGTCCTAGTGGAAGCTTATTTTCAGCTCTTCCATTTCAGTTGGGAGTTTTCTCTTAGACATGGCAGTTAGAAGTTTAAACACATGGGTCTTTCTAAAATTCAATAGTCCGTCAGCCAATGTTTATTTGGCGCTAGGTAATCAGTTTTCAAAAAGAGTTCACACAATTATAAGAAATGCTAATTTCAGATAATTGTTTAAAATAGTGTTTCTGTGTGTGTTATACTGACTGTTTTCCCTAACGAGATGTAAGGAAATTTCTGCACTGTGTAGTGGGAAATTGAACCAGGTAGTGTGTCATGTCCCCCCCCCCCCCATTTCCCCTCCCCTGCAAACTAAGCAAGCACTTTAATGCAGAGCTACTCCAGTCTGAAAATACTTGTCTATTTATAACAGCATGGAAGATCTCAGTGTTTACCTTTAAAAACATTTAAAAGAACAAATATAATAAAAAAATTGAAAAAAAACTGAGCATTTTATACTTTGACTCAACTAGTGCATATTACCTTTCATGCTTTGAAGGGGATCTGTCAGACTCATCTCAATTTTATACGATGTTTCAGAAAAACAGCACTTAAAGCAGAAAAGTATTTTTTTTATATTTACTTAAGAGTTATGTGTATGTGTACCATAAGGAAGTGTGCAGTGCCCATGGAGGCCAGAAGGGGGCTCCGCTGAAGCTGGATTCACAGAAGGTAGTGAGTCACCTGAGGTGGGTACTGGGAATCAAACCCAGGTCCTAGGCAAGAGCACCAAGTGCTCCTGACAACTGAGCCGTCTTTCCAGTCCCTGATAGGTGTTATAAAAGGAGCTCCTCTCTAACACTTTATTTCATGAACTCTGAATGAACCAACACAGTGTTAAAAACACAACCTTTTTGAGTCAGAAATGAATCTCCTGTTAGCTCACGGCCCCTGCCAAGGTTGCTGCTCACAGAGAACAGTTAGGGATCTAGGAAGCTCACAGTGAAACTCACCACTGGGTCTGTAGGATGAAAAATATTTAGTAAGCGGTTACAAATCTCTCGAGGTAAAATGTGATCTTGACTTCCAGTATTTCCTGGTCTGATGCCACGCAATGCCAAAAAAACTGCTAGTGGGGATCCCATACAGAAGAAATTCTCAACCTAAAATGAAAAGAGCCATCCTGAATTGAAACAACGATGAAGTGTTATTTTCAACAGAATAATAAAATACAAACAATAAAATTAAATCTAAGTATATATGTTTTAAGTAAGCTTTGTTTACATTACTTGTTAATTACATACCAGCCATTAATGATTTTATGATAATTTACTTCCAGTGGGGTTTTCATTATTTTAAAATATAGCGGAAGTTAAAGCTGAGACAAGGAGGGAGGTGAGGGGAAGCGTGTTGTTGCACTTCTAGTTCCTGGACAGGGTGACACGAGGCTGCCTCTACGCCAGGTGCTGTGACGGTCGGGACCAGCAGCGGGGTGGAGCCACTGCCCCCAAGATGATCGAGTGGGGGGGAATGCCATGGAAGAATGGAGCCCCCAGCTCTGAGGCCTTTGCAGGGGGCAGGGTATGCAGTGGCCAGTCCAAGAGAGTAAGGATCTACAGTTGAGACTGGGGTATCCAGGCTGGAAGAATGACCCACTAGACTGTTACTCATTTGGAATAAGTAGAGAGAAAGAGGTACTGGATGATTTTTGAGAAAAGGCACAGGTAAGACTGAAACAAAAGCGTGCGTGTGTGTGAATCTACTTGGGATGATAACACTCAGATCTCTGACTATCCCAGGAAGATAGGCTTCATTTATATTTTAGGCTGTGAGGAACAGCACTTAGCCCATATTCTGGGAAGCGTAACCTGGTAGCAGTGTGTGTGGATGCACCAGGAAACTGAAAAACTACTGATTTGAAAAAAAAAGTTCTTGAAAGGAATGAGGCAAGAAATAATCTCAAGCAGGGCAGGCCCCGCTGTCATACATAATGGCAACATTCGAGGATCAAGTGGGGATGCTTGCATGGAGACGATACAGAATGGGTCAGAGACACAACAATGCAGTTCCACTGTCAGAGGAAACTGTCCCCAAATCTTATTTTTGTTCACAGGTAAGTTTGAGATGTCTGTAATGTGTGGCTGAAAAGTTAGAGCAGGGGTATAGAAATCTATCTTCCGCCATCAATCGACACGACTGTAGTGACGGCGCGTGAGGCCAAGACAGTCACCCCGCTTGCCAAGGATGTGCTCAGAACCCCGAGAGCTGGACACAGACCTACGTATAGTCAGCAGGAGGAAGGGGAACTCTACAAGGGAGAGTGAAAGAACCAGAATCCAGGGCAGATTCTGGTCCTCATACCCTTATCCGACCATCCTGCAACAGGGTTTCGGCCTCCAATTCTATGCGCCTGTAACTCTTTCCAAAAAGATGACAGGAGGACTTCTATTTTTAGAGAAAAAAAACACAACTGAAGATTTATTTTGAAGGAATGTTCTGAAATGGCACCTTCATGCTTCTGAACCTGGAGCCTCGCACATGCTATCGCCAAGCTGCCCAGCCCAAGGAAAAGCAGTGCAAACAGCTGATGCAAACCAGTTCTCTTATAGATAGAGAGAGAAAAGAGGTCTAACAGAGACAGAAAATCCCAGGACTCACCAGAGTTTGAGGTCAGCCTGAGCTACAGGGTAATGTTGAGATTAGCCTGGGCTACTAGATGAGTTTCTGTCTCAAAAAGCACAATCAAGGATTGGGGCGGAGGATGGCTCAGTGGGTAACAGCACTTACTCTTCAAGCATGAGGACCTAGCATTCATGTAAAGAAGCTGAGTGCGGCTTATGCATCCTGTCACCCCAAGATTGTGGGGCAGATAAAAGGATTCTGAAACTCTGCAAGCCAGCCACCTCGTCAGAATGGAAAGTTTCTCGTTCAGCGAAAGATTCTATACCAAAGCAAAAAGGCAGAGTGATAGAGGAAAACTTTGTCCTCTGACCCCTCTGTACACAGGCCAGGCACCTGCGTTGCATATTCAAGCATACCACACACATACACACACACACACACACACACACACACACACACACACACACACACTAACCCTGCAGAGTCAAGTGCATGAACCAGCCACATACATACTGGCATGCGCACACACACATACCAGCCACCCAATATAAAAAACAGGTGACAAGAGGAAGCTATGACATTCTGTGCAAAATGCCCAGTCACTTCATAACCATTTGGTAAGTCACCTCTTCCATATAATTTTGTTCATGATGGCTGCAGTCTGACAAATACAAAGGTACTGTTTTCTCAGTCTGTTGTGACTGTTAAATAATGAAAAACACTAAAATAACATGTGTGGACATGTATGATATGTATGTGGGGGCATGTGTGTACCATGGCACACATGTGGAGGTCAGCGGACAATTCTGTAAAGCTGATTCTTTCCTTCTACCTTTATGAGGGTTACAGGGATTGAATTCAGGTCACCAGGCTTGCATGCAGAGCAAGCCTCTTTCCCTGCTGAGTCATCTCACCAACCCCCATCAAAGAATTCTGAAGACAAAAAGGAACTTCCTTGTTCAGAGATGAGTAACCAGCTGAGTTCAGAAAGATCACACGCCTTGGCTAATAGTACTAACTAGATACAAAAATCACAGCCAGAGCAAGGCTCATTGTCCACACTGCACACCAAAGCTTGTCACGGCTCCTCTTCTCCTGGTCAAGTGCAACAGGATGGACATCAGCAGCCTCAAGGTCAATCTATCTGCTGGTTATCCGCATAGAAAAATGTTTGTTTCCTCCTGACCCCTTAAGTCCCAAGTAAAACTCGCCAGGTTTGATACTCTTCTTAAATTCTCAATTTCTATGTTTCCCTCTAAATAACGATGAGGAGTCTTTATTAAGCTATGCATGACTTGCATCAGAAGAAACCCAATTATATGTACAGGTTCTACTCATGTGGTACTGAATCTAAGATCATAATATACTTAATGTGTTCTAGGCAATTCTTTAGTAAAAAATAGTTTTATCTACCAGATACATTTATACATTTAGCATTAATTATGTATGGCAGTGCTGGTATTTAAATTCTAGATTAAGATAATTCCAGAGACCATATTCTTTAAATGGATGTTTCAACTTTATCATTTCACCACCCCGTACCCCCACAGGGCTAGGGATTGAACCTAGTGCCTTGTTCCTGCCGGCCAAGCACTCTGCCACCCAGCTCAACAACCTGGTTTTGAAACGGTGTATGTTAACAGAGAAACTTGTGGGGGATCCAGTACAGGGATCTGGCATCCTCTTACGGCATCTTCAGGCACCAGGCACGCACGTGGTTTATACATATTCATATAGGCATTCACCCACATTCACAAAAAAACCAGCTAAAGAACTGTGCCAGTCACAGAGTCACCCCACACTTGAGGATGCACGCTAAGCTCCTCCGTGAGACGACGTGGACCGCGCATGCAGGGGTCATGCAGAGGTCCACACACCTTCTCTTTACTACTCCAGGAGAGAACACTTCCCAGAGCAGGAGCAGCACTGATGTCTTAGACTTCACTAGGGCACCGTTTTAACTCATCTAGAACCTAGCTTCACTCTGCCCTCTCAAGCAGATGGCAGTTCCTCTTCTCACAGCCCTTTGCCAAGTCCTGACAATGCCAGTCAAATGGAACCTGGCAGCCTTGTCTTGGGCTTTGTTCTAGACTTCATAAACTGAAGCACCCAACTTCCTACCCTGAACTTCCGCCTGCCCACTTCCTTTTATTTCCTTCTTGCTGTGGACTATACATTTTGTTCCTTCTAAATAGTAAACGTCACCACACATCTGTCTCAACTTTTCCTCTCCTTGCTTTTATTTTCTCTTTCAACTTGGCCAAATGTAAACCGAGCTAAAGAACAAGTGTTCATCCTCCTAAAGCCTCCCAGACAGAAGGAAAGCCCCTTCTCCAGTGCACTGCTGCTCTGCACATTGCTAAGGGCACCTAGGTATTGCCAGGTCCCAGGCAGAACCATCTCGCCCATGCTGTTCTTTGGAGCAAGTGTCCAAGCACACAGTATACAACCAACCACGACGAAGCCTTCATTTAACTAAATTTTCATGACACCATACTCAAATGTCCAAAAAGTATCAAGACGATGAGAGGCTGATCTCTTCCCTTACCTTAAATTTTAAGGCAGGTGTTTGTGTTATGGACGACGTCTTCAGTCCGTGCAGCCGTTCTTCTATTTCCCTCAGCCTAGGAGGCAGCATGAGAGCACACACATACATTTACAGTTTCACAACAAACCATCACTACTACTTTATGAAGCCCCGATGGCTCTCACACTCGCCCCTTCTATGACAATGTTTAATCAATTCCTGCTGTACTGCTCAGGGCCTGCAAAGGCCCTCTTACCACACTTGTATATACATAACTATCCACCTACCTATCCCCGCTTCTCTCTCTCTCTACATGCCTTGCTTTAAAAATTGTATTTTATACTCTTTTCTTCAATCTTTTCTAAAAAATGTCTTTTCCCTATCGATATTTAGTAATGAATTTTATAGGTGTTTTCACTGCATTGCCCCCACCTACTTTAATTTCTAAAACAGTCATTATTTGTTGAGCACCCGAGAAGCCACGTTTGACTCCCCTTGGCTAAGGACACCCGAGTTGCCTGCCTGTTTTATTACTCTGCGGCTTTGCTCACATCTAATACATTTGCTTACATTTTTTTCTCAAGAAAGCTACGACTCACTTTCTCAGACAGACTTACTCATTAATATATGTAAGTATTTTCTTAGTTATCCTGGACTTAGTTATCATGTTGCCTGGGCTAACTTTGAAATCTTGATCCTCCTAGCTCGACTTCCTAACTGCTAGGATTACAAGCTTGTGCCACCATGATTACATTTTTTAAAGAAGGTGTAAGTGTTCTGTGATTCATTTTGAATCACGAGTGTGCACATGTTGATGGATGTGAATGGAGAGCCTGCACTAGCCAGAAGAGGGCGCCGGGTCTCCTGGGGCTGGTGCAGCAGGTGACTGTGAGGTCTGACAACGGGGCTGAGGACCAAATTCCTGTCCACTCAGAGTTTCACTGGATTTACACATCATGAACGCTGCTCTGAGGATTGCCAAACTTATTTTCTTTTATGTTTATTTGAGACAGGGTTTCTCTGGGTAACCCTGGATGTCCTGGAGCTAGCTTTAAAGGCCAGTCTGGTTTCAAACTCAGAAATCTACCTGCCTCTGCTTCTTGAGGCTGGAATGAAGGTGTGTGCCACCACCACCTGTTAAACATCATTTTCTTCCGAGACTAATAATCATTTTGTTATCATAATATTTATGTCTTCAGCACCTAATAAGTCAAATCCTGAGACAACTACTCTAAAAGTAAAACAAAGCCAATGCTTTCTGAGTAAAAATTTTGTCAGTTAACCCAGTTGTTTGTATAAAATGCTAAACTATCAGAATCAGTGTCTTCCATTGTAAACTTGTATCAGTTAGAGGAGGAAGATGGTGAACGCAAGTGTCACCTAAGATAATAATCAGCAAAGAGTTAAAGGATGCTAAGAGGGTCATTAAATCTGCTTATAATTATATACTATATAATTGTTAAGAGATAACATGTAAAATAATTGGCCAAGAGTAACAAAGTTTTAATACTACTTTCAGAATAAAGGTACAGACCAGCAAAACAAATGATTACACACTGCAGACTGGGAACAAACTGAGCAAAGATGGAGGAAGAGGAAATTATTTTGTGGAAAAATGCATGTAATAAAAGTATAAAAATTAATAACCTATAGGTTGGTTAGGTATGTTATCTAATAATCTATACCTTGAACAAAGCATAAAGCTTTTTTTATTACTATAATTGTGTTTGTTCTATGCATGCGTGTGAGCACAGAAGAGGAACTGGATTTCCTGGAGCTGGAGTTACAGGAGTTGTGAGCAGCCCGATGTGGGTGCTGGGAACTCAACTCTGGTCCTCTGAGAGATCAGCCTGTGCTCTTAACCACAGAGCCATTTCTCCAGATCCAAGGCATTTTCTTAAGAACATCAGCAATTCCGGTAGGGCGTTTCCAACACTTTCAAAAACCTAGGGATGTTTACCGTCGCTTCGTTATATAGAGTTCATCAAGAAGATGCCGCTCTTCGTAGCTCATCCACCGTTCATCAGGCAGCTCTTCTTCTTTCTGTAGCAGCTGCTCATAGAGTCGAACTGGATTCCAGCCCGTCATGATATCATAAGTAATTACACACCCCAAGGAATGGGATACTATTGAGACTTTACCCCCTTTTTCTTCAAAGTCTGGATTCCGAGAACAGAAAAGGGAATATAATCGATTCAGCTCTTGCTGAAGGCCTTTAACTAGCTGTTTGAAATAAGAAAATACAATCATATTAGATTTTTCATTGAGGGCTATAAACTTTATTTCTAAATGCAAACACATTAAGAAAAACAAACATGATTGCTGAAATATAAACAGGTTATTAAATTACTCAGGTGCTTTAAAAAATACAGAAATGCAGGTCTGTATACATGCGACAAACTGTCTCATCACCGGAGTTTCATCTCCCTAGGCGGAGATTCTCATCAGGATCCATCCTTTTGTAGGCGTTCAGTAAATTACACTAGCCAGCTGTCCCACAAATAGGAAAAATTTCTTTTTGGATTCTAATAAGATCTCCAAAGCCCCTGGAAATTTCTACTTCAAAGTAACTTACTGTCTATCAATTCTAAATTTTCAGTGAGTGGGCTCTAGTCGTAGTAACATTTTTAGAGGAATGTAAGTTTATAACAGATATCCTGAAGATAGACTATGTAGTAAGAGGCTGCTGCATGAAGTCACAGAGACCTCCATAGTTTACATCTCACCGTGCTGTTGACAGAGAAAAATGAAGATGACTTCAGTGACTGAGCTCAACCAATAGGCCCACTGACGTGAAGCAGCTCACTGCTTCATCTTTGGGAAGCTGCCGAAATAAGCACCTTCCCCAAACCCACAAAGAAGATTACTTTGTCTCTCAAACCGTCTCAAACCCTGAAGTTTAGCACAGTTCTCTCTCCTTACTGTTTCTTCTACTTTATTATAAATTTTCAGTTTTTATTCATTTTACCTCACTAGTTAACAAGCCAGCGGTTTCTCTGACATATTTGTTCTTACAGAGCTTTATTTTAAAATCATGTTCTATCAAGAGACAACCAAACTCCATCAGCTGCTACTGGGTATCCTACATCTGATGGCATAAACTAGCTCTCACTCTTGTACTTTGACGGTGGGCTCTGTGATGTATGCATGAAGCCCTGGCATCTTCTGTTGACATCTTAGAGCTCACTAAAACAGAGGCTAATCTGAGCTATTGAAACTATGTGATCTGTCTGATGCAATACATTCTGGCCATGAACAGAGAGAGGAAAAGCGCCCCATGTTCCAGTGGCAATTGTCCTCCAATTCTCACATGGATCAGGATCTCCTGGGCAGACTGCTACAAGTGGACTGGTGGGCTCTGGCTCTGAGTTCCCGACTCAGAGGCACTGGAGACCCTGGGAATCTGCATTTGTAACACATTCCTGGAAAATGCTGGTGGTGCTAGCTTGAGAATGCTACATTAGGAACTACCAGTTCAAGGAAAAATGAATATAAAAGCCTTTTAAGACTTGGGCTATAGGCAAAACTCCAGGACTAAAGAGTACACCATGCAATGTCACTCTGTGTGCTGTTCATCAAGGGAGCTGTAATCTCTGGAGTGAGCTCTTACAGTATTAAAAATCCGTAAGATATATATATATATATATATATATATATATATATATATATATAAAATTCCTTCCTTACAATCCAAGCAGCAGCTAGAGAAAGGGCACAGGAGTGTTTTGCTTGGGATTGAATCCAGGATGTTGTGTATCTTGGGCAGTAAGACACTGACTCATCTCTACTACTGTTTACTCTTGAAGGTCTTGGTTCTAAGGTTTATACTAGGGAAACACAGAAGTACTTCAGCACACTGGCATAAAAGCACCCAATTCTCACGTATTTTAAAAACGCAATCCTCAGAAGGTGAGGCCCTGGCCTGAGGAGGAAGAGCTGACACACAGCCTTGTCCCTCTAACCCTGGCTGGTGGTGGCTTAGCGTCCACTCTTGTTTCCATGTTGAAGGGAGGGTCCATTCTTTTGAGGCAGCTCTGCTACTGCCTCAAAGGTCTTCACCACAGGACATGACCATGCTCCTCCTCCTAGTCACTGATAATTTTACTGTCTTTGTGAGGGATTGCAGCTTATTCTGATTACCTTATTTTTTATGAATGATTTATCTGCATACATGTCTGTGTATCAAATGTGCCTGGAGGATGTCAGAAGAGGGGGTTAGGATTCCCTGGAACTGAAGTCACAATGGTTGTGAACCACCATGTGGGTGCTGGGAACCGAACCAGGGTCCAGCGAGGAGCAGCAAGTGCTCTTAACTGCTGCACCACATCTAATTTACAGACTGTAAACAAGCGAGCGAGTGAGCAAGAAACACCGCTTACTATACACTCCTTTTTTCTTCATAATGCTTTAAGAAGCACTACCCAGAATTCCCTGATGGTAGTACCTAGGAGAACTGCTAATTTAAAATATAAACACAGGCTTCATTTCAGACCAAGTGAATCACAACCTCTAGGGGATGGACCTCGAAAACTGTTTTTCCCCTTAACTTGAATATTTTGTTTCCTCAACTTTTTATTTGAAAATATAAAATGTTACAAAGTAAAATTAGTACAAAAAAATCAAATGTCTGTGGTGGAGCTGGCTTGGGGGTTGTTAGAGCACACTGCTCTTAGGAACCCCTGAGGTCAGTTCTCAGCACTCACGTAGGGTGCTCAGAGCCGTTAAGGCCCGCTCAGAGGGAGCCAACGCCCTTTCCTGGACCCCACAGGCACTTGCACTCAGAAGCACATTCCCCTCCCTCAGATTCTCCTTTTGTTAGCGTTGACCACACTTGTGTTAGTTACTCTCTCTGCTTCTGTAATTATGCAGTCACACACCTTCCCAATATCTCTGGCAATTACTTGAGGGATATAGTATACACACTGTCATCTTTTATCTCATTACATTTCCTGATGCTAGGAACATTTCTACTGTGATTATTCATGCCCCATGGCATTACCTGGAAATATTTTATCTAATCTACCACCACAACCCAACTTTGTCATCCATTCCTGCAGCTTCCTCATCTACTGCAGGACAACAGGAAGTGGGATAGAGTATTTATCAGATCTCTTCACCCCTGTAATCGGCAATAGTTCCTGTAATTACTGTCTTTTATGACACTGACAACAGAAAAGAATACAGCCCTGCCCACACCTTGTCTGTGTTTCTCAGGTATTTCCTCAATATTAGGATGCTGCACAGGGGATGCTGCATCTTCCACTGGGTACCATATTCAAAGGCTCACACTGTCCACCTGTCCCTTGGGAAACCCAGGATAGATGCTGCCCGATTTCTCCTGTGTATAATTACTGTTCCTCTTTTGTGGATCAGGGAGCAGTTTGCGGGGATGCACACAATAGCCTGCTCCTAAGCAACACTGCCCTCAATTCACATTCACTGATGAGGATGTCCAGCTTACACTCAGCACCGCCATGCCTACTGTAAAACGACTGTGCAGCTCCAGTCAGCTTTACCGTTCTACTAAAAGCAAGCGACCTAGTCACTATCCAGTCAATTTTTCATCAATACAAATGAAAGTTTTAAAAATGACTTACAATCCTAAAGTGAACTGCATTGCCATTACTGTATCCCATGTTGAAGTACTAATTCCTGTGGTGAAGCACTCTGGTCCCAGACAGGCTCAGGTTCAGCCGACTGCAATGGTTCTCTAGCTCCTATCCTTGGGACCTGCCATTATTCTTTTGAACATTTCTGTAGTTTCTGTCACAAATTGTTTGGGCCTCTGAATCAGCTATATCCACAAGGAATTGTAAATTTTCTTTATGGGGAATAAGGCACTACAAATATCTCGGTGTTGTGGGCTCAGTGCGATAAGGGGAATCCTTGGTTTCTGGCTATTTCAGTAAACACTGCTGGGAAATGTATGCATGCAAACACAGACATCTGCGTATACATATTTATATACATATATAAAATACCTATAAGCATATTTTATAAATCATGAGCTCAGAATACCTTCACTCCTAGTCTCTATACACTTTATAATTACGCTATTTTTATTATTCTACCTTTTTTTTGAGATAGGGCTTCACTGTGTGGCTCACAGGGGTCTTGAACTCATGGCCATCTTTCTGTCTTAGGCTCCTGAGTGTTGGGTTTGCAGTGTGAACCACCACGGACCTCTCTCCTTGTTTTGAGACAAGGTCTCTCTTTGTAGCTCTGCCTCCTCTGTGTTTTTAAGGAGCACCGAGTGGTTGCTCTCTGGGAAACGCTGGGAAGACTTGGCCTAAGCTGACCACATTCACTATTAAAAGGCCGATGTTACTATACAAAACACCTAACATGCCAAAACAGTCCTGGTACTTACCTCGTCCCTATAAAGCGGGCTAGTATAGTACATTATGTCCATCGCACTACTGTTCAGCATGTCCCTCAGGCCTCGCACTTTGTCGGGAGTAATGGAATCAACAGTGTCTACAAACAAAACAAAACCGAAATCAAACTTACAGAAGGTTCCAGGGAAAAATCACATTTCTGAAGGTAACTTAATATTTAAGTAATAAACATTAATGGGGATCTTTCTTCCTTGCAAAATATCCAAGATAAAACAAAACAAAAAGTAAAAGACAACAACAACAACAGAAAAGGAATGTTAGAGGATGAAGGTTATTAACAAATTTTTGGCCCTATTTACCCTGGCCCAAATTATGCCCATCTGGCACACTTGGGCATGGCTAACAACAAACCAGGAATAAATAAGACTTTTCCCACGCTTCATATTTATCTGTCCTACTGGAACTACTGGAGACCAGAGAAGCAATGACAACACTGAACCACAGGAGGGCAGAGCCTTAGGACTTCATCCAAGGACAAGCCACTGCACTGGCTCACATTATTTAATTCGTACTTACTCTGTACTTTAGTACAGTGTAGTAAGGACTGAAAGGCACCATGATAAAGACTAGGATTCCCTCTCTACTCTCAACTAGTCTCCCAAATATTTCCTAAAGCATTGGCTTTCATGTTAAGCCTTTGGTTTACTGATATATAAAGCAGACGTCATTTTAACCAACTCCCCCACAGGATTACCAGGTTCCAAGCACATTCAGAGTACAATCCTTTCATGGCTGCTTGGTCGTGGCTTAGGTTCCAAATCAGCACAGACGGGTGAGGCACACACATGCTGGGCTGCACCGGTTTATCGGCCCGGCTTCGTCCCAACAATAAAGTGTTTAAATCACAGAAGTTAAATGGCTCCAGCAGCTGAGGAAGACATGACTCTCTGTCTCGGTTCTTGGCTACTCTGGGCCCTCTGTCCTACAACCATTTTACAGTCAGTTCACCAAGTTCTGTGAATATCTACAGATCGGTTTGGGAGTTAGCATCTCTAGAATATTCATTCACTCATTTAATCTGAATCAGCTTTGCATTTAAGTTTTCCTCTATTTTAATAGTTCTTATACTTTAAAGCCTAAATATACTAGTTATACATTTTTTAAATAAAGTTGTATTTGAGCTATTTCTTGGAATCTTGTATTTTTTATGTTGTCTGTTGCTGGTCTATAGAAAAGCAATTATTTTGCACATAAGTCCTCTACATCATGACTTTGAGAAGATGATCAGTTCTATTTTTCTGTGTAGTTTTATGCAATCTGAGCAGACAGCAGGGGACCTGTAAATCAGAACTGGTGCTTTACATTTCTTATGCCTAGCATTCCCTTTTCATGTTATTGTACTACAAAGACAGTGTGTCCATGGACACCTTAGTTTCTTTTTACTCTTTCACCACCAATGACTACACTGATACTTGTTATACCATGCTTTTACTCTGAAATTTATAGAGTAAAGCTGGTGGTGAATATTAATACTTGCACAGTTTTATATAACAAAGGCTGTGATGAGGACACAGAGCTGTTCTGACTTAAATAGTTCTCTTCCCTCCCTTAAATTCTGACAGTCACTGGTTTGTTCTTTGTGACTATAGTTTTGCTTTTTCTACTTAAATGAACAGAAGCATAAAACATGAGATCTTTCTGGTTGGCTTCTTTCAGTTATCTTAATACCTTCAAAACTATCAAAACCTCTGTCTGTTTATTTGGGACTGAATCATCAGTAGGTGATTCTCAGAATCCTAGGGCTCAGGAGGCTAAGGCAGGACTGTGAGTTCAAGGCCATCTGGACTACAAAGGTGAGATTGTTTCAAAAACAAACAAGTATCATGACAATGTGAACTTAGCCAGAACTGCAGGCTCAGGGGTTTAGGAAATGTTAATTCATCCTGTTGTCTACATTCCTGACATTTACCTGGGCGAGCCAGAAAAACCCATAGTGTTACTGTATGTGTAGACGGAAATTCCTGTTCCTCCCAGTCCTACAGCCATTCAATCCCAACTAAACACACAGAGGCTTATATTAATCATAAACTGTTTGGCCTACTGCTCAGGCTTATTATTAACTAGCTCTTATGACTTAAGTTCACCCATAATTCTTGTCTATGTTTAGCCACGTGGCTTGGTACCTTTTCTCAGTAAGGCATTCACATCTTGCTTCTTCTGCATCTGGCAGGTGACTGACTCTGCCTTTTCTCTTCCCAGAATTCTCCTAGTCTGATCACCCCCACCTATACGTTTTGCCTGCTACTGGCCAACCAGCGTTTTATTAAACTAATAGGAGTGACAAATCTCTATAATGTACAAGAGCATTCTCTCACAGCAAATATGGAACCTTACATATGCACCATAACTGCTGAGACATCTTCCTTGGTCACTAGCATTTATTGAGCTACTTTGTGGTTTGAAAGAAAACGTCCCCCAAAGGGAGGTGTGGTCTTGCTGGAGAAGAGTGTCACTGTTTGGGTGGGCTTTGAGGTCTCCTATATGCTCAAGGTACCACCCAGTCTTGGGTTTCACCTCCTGTTGCCTGCAAGTCAAGCTGTAGGACACTCTGCCACTTTCCAGAAGACATATGTAACAAAGGCACAACACCGACAGCAGCAACATTATAACAGCGAGTGAGGAAGGGAAGGATCATCTCTCTGGACCTCACATTTATCATATCCTCACCATGATGATAATGAATTAAACCTCTGAAACTGTAAGATACCCCAAATAAATGTTTTTCCTTTATAAGAGTTGCTGTGGTCGTGGTGTCTCTTCACAGCAATAGAAACCCTAACTATGACGTATTTACTTTGTAAAAGCACATTACAATTCCTGATGCCACTTTGGAGTGCAGTGCTCTAGTTGACGTTGCTAACCAGGAGACAATAACACAGCCATGGAAGACTCTGTGGCTGCACCCGGGGCAGTGTGCCACAGTGACGAAGGTGGGCGTTACTGTTACACAGACCTAGATCTCCTCCTTCTACCTCCAGATCACAAAGGACACACACAAACATGCTATCTGTGAAGTCCACATGGCAGTCCAGACACAAGTCAGTTTTGTCAATTTTTAAAAAATCAGTTTTTTCCCTCAAGTATGTTCTTGAATAATCAGGAACAAAAAGTGAATATACTCAGACAATTTTAAAACAGATTTCATGTGTGTGCTCCTGGTCTGGAACTTGCTGTATCAGCCAGAGCTCCACCTGCTTTATCCCCCACTCCCCACCCCTGAGGGCTGGGATTAAAGACATATGCTGCTGAACATGACCAAGATTTTGTTCTTAATAAAAATATTTCTAAAACCATGTATTTACTCTAGTAAAGGTTTATCATTGGCTAAAATCATTCCATTTCCAAACAGAATATACCTCCATCAAGAGTAAGCTTTGACCGCCACTCAACAGGCAGGAACTCAACATGTGTCGCATGGTTGGAAAAATGTTTTTCTTCTATTTTTCTTGCAGCCTCTCTCATCCTAAAAAGTAAATAAATGTAAGAAAAATTTTTGAGAATAACTTCATGAATGTCTTTACATGGTGTAAATATCTCTCACTGTAATACCTCCATTTCCTGGCAGCTCTGTCCAGCTGTATCCCACTGATGGCGACACTACGCTGGTTATACTCAGGTATTTTCCTATTTGTCACTCAGGACTTCAGATGCTCCCACTTACATTACATTCTAAATGACACAGTTCTTCAGGGATGCAAGAACATAATGAATACATCCGTGCTTTTGTTCATCTCCACACATCATGCGTCCAGTCATGAACTATCTCATTTCATCTCCTTTTAAAAAGTTTTATTTTTAATTAATATATAATCGCATCATTTCCTTCCCCCTTCTTCTCCCTCCAGTTCCTCTCATATCCCTGTACTCACCTCTCCTACTCCCTCTCAATTAATGGCCTCTTTTTTGCCAATTATTGTTACACACATACATACAGATGAATAAATATATAAATACAACCTGCTGAGTCTGTTTATAGTGCTGCTTACATGTATGTAATTTTAGGTATGACCACATGGTACTGGATAACCAATTGGGGGTTCATCCTGAGGGTTACTAATTTTTTCTCTCTCTGAGTAGTGCCTGTAGCTCTTTATCTAGCGATGGCCCCAACAGGTTCTCCTCATCCATGCCGGCATGGCTAGTGGTCCCACTGTTGAGGTCCTGTTCAGGTCGTCACACTGATGAGGCTTCACGTGCACAGTTGCCCTGTCATAGCTAGAAGACACTGTCTTGCAGAAGACTTCCTAGTCCCCCAGCTCTTGCAATCTTTCTGCCCCCTTTACCTCTTCTTTCTAATGCAATTTTCAATCTTTTACTTTGAAAATTAAGGTATTAATGCACTTACAGCTTTCCTTTAGCCAGTTACATGAATTCTGCCACCCCAATAGGATTCTGAGGAGCACAACCTAATGAAGACACTCAGAGTTCACTGTGAACGCTCCCCTTCTGCTGTCCCTCCCCAGGAGGGCCTTCCTTTCACAGTCTAAAGCAAATCCCAGACACCACACCATTTTATTTCTCACATAAACCCTCAGTCCAGGCTTCCACATGCTTGAGTTACACCTTGCACACATGAAGTAAATGCTCTACCACTGAGCTACATCCCCAGCCATCTTATCTCCGAACAGCAGATTTTCTAAAATAACGTCTATTCAATAATAAAGTATTATAATCAAGTAATTTTTAAATTTTGGCAAATATGTAGTTCATTGGCCTCATTTTCCCACTGACTATAAAACTAATTCATAGTAACATTAAAACATTTTCTATTTATGCTCCAAATACTGTATGCTCCATTATGCTCCATTCACTGCAGACATTAGGTCCCTCTTTCTTGTACAGTCTCCTACAGTCTGTTCACGAATTGCATCCATGTGGTGTCACCCACATGGCCTTTCTACTGCACAGCTCCTGTAAGGTGTCAGCGAGTCCGGGAAGACTCCACAGGATGCCACCTTTTTGTACTAAGTTTTGCCTTTCTTGTACCTGAAGAAATTAAACGTCTGTTTACTAATGATCTCACAGAGGATATGCCACACAAACCATTCTCATGGTCCTTGATATCTAAGAAAGGATGCATCAGGACATAATTATCATGCCAAGTCATATGACTCATCATAAAACAAAGTCAGAACTAGAGCAATGAGACGCCTATAGGAGAAACAAAGGGACCGGAGAATGAAGGCTGCCTGCCAGTCTCCAGCAACAATACAACCTGGGTTGCACTTTCACTTTCCCCTCTGTGGGCATGATGACCTTACAGTGTAGCAAGCTCAACAACGGCACGTGCAGGTCATGGAGGATCGAATTCCTAGAGCTAAACGTTTACTTCACGGATGGCGAATTTTACTGGCAGACTGTGCTTTCCACAGTAACGGACTTGTTCTTACTGCATCAGCATCCTGGGCCTCATGAGCTCTGCTGGACCTTGAACACAGCACTCAACTGTTGAAACACACAGCTCGCCATACACATATCCCAAGAAGTTCCTAAAGAGTTTCTAGAATAGAGCTGAGTATCTAACAATAAGGAGATAAATAATCTGTCTTGTATGTTAAGTATCCACTGACTTCTGTGTACAATCTAGAGTTGTTTCCTCTGGGAGCTATTAGTGTGCAGATTACATTGAAAACTGTCAGTTTAAACAATTCTTAATCTTCTCAAAGTTGGACAACTTTGAAGATTCTCAATTTCTGAGGCTCAGAGAGCAAGGAACAAACTTAAAAACTAGCTCGTTTCCTGCTGTCAACTCTTAAATTAATGATGTCAATTAAGGAGGGAAAGTCACATCTCATCAGGATACAGTCACTGTTTTGGTTTCATCCAGAAACATCACTGATTATTACAAGAGTCGGCACTGATTATTATAAGAGACCTGCTTATGCCTTGGGCAGAAGCTGGGACTGTCTGCAAAGAACTCACATGGCTGTGTTTTTTATAATTCTTCCTTGGTCCATCTTCTGTCCAATGCCATGCACGACAAACACGATATGAGAAGTCTGTGAGGGCTTGTCTTCTAGCGTGGCTTCTTCTACGTAACCTCTATGAAGTCTGGTCCCACTACTGGAGGCTGTAGCAAAATTATGGCCTTAAGTTTAGGACTTGGGAAATTGTATTTGAAAAATATGTTTAAAAAAAGAAAGTAGTAATGGTAAGAATGTAAGAAAATATTTCATTGGGTGGAAAGAGAAAATAAAGTTTGTAAGATAATATACATTGACTGATGACATAAAAAGAAGTGAATACAATACAAAAGCCAGAAATCATTAGGGAAACAAAAGGATAAACAACGTAGAAAAATAAATAACATCTATATTAAAAATGCACACCAGGTATGGTGGCACACTCCTTTAATTCTAGCACTCAGGAGGTAGAGGCAGGAGGATCTCTGTGAGTATAAGGCCAGCCTGGTCTACAGAGTGAGTTCAAAGATAGCCAAGGATACACCCAGAGAAAAAATAGTCAGAGAGCTTACTAGTCAAAAAGTACACGTATTCAATTAGATATAAAAAGGTACCCCACAAAATACAACTAACTATAAACAAAAATATTCAGATATGTTTACAGCAAATAAAAGAATGAATAATAACATCTTAGCCTTAAAAATGAATTTTCAAACTTATTGAGAATGCTCTATCTTCTCTTAACGCTCTTTTCAGAAAAAATATTTGTGTGGGTGGGTAGGTGCGTGCGGGTGCACGCGCGCCCATGATAGACAGGAAAAGGGGGCAGTATGTGGGAGGCATGTGCAAGGTTAAGGGGACAGCCTCAGGTGTTCAGTGCTCTCTTTCCACAAAGCAGCCTCTTGCTCTCAGCTTCCCAGGATTCAGCCTGGGCCCTGCCTCCCTGGAGCAGTGCTGGGATTTTTATATGCACACTAAGCATCTAGGACTGCAGCTGCACACTAAGCATCTAGGACTGCAGCTGCACACTAAGTGTCTAGGACTGCAGCTGCACACTAAGTGTCCAGGATTGCAGCTGCACACAAGTGTCTAGGATTGCAGCTGCGCACTAAGCATCTAGGATGGCAGCTGCGCACTAAGTGTCTAGGATTGTAGCTGTGCACTATGCATTGAGCTTTTATGGCTTCTGAGAATTTGAACTCAGGTCATCACACTTAGGTGGCAAGTGCCTTTTCTCTACATAGCCATGTAGCTAACCCTTCTATTTTATTTTAGTTGAACTACTTTAGTCTGGCAGTGGTGGCACACACCTTTAATCCCAGAACTTGGGAGGTAGAGGCAGACAGATCTCTTTGTGTTCGAGGCCAGCCTGGTCTACAGGAGTTCCAGGACAGCCAGAGCTGGTTACACATACAGAAACTCCATCTTGAAAAAATACAAAACAAACAAACAAAACAACTAAAAATCCTCAAACCAAAACAAAAATTGAAAACTACTTTAAACTGTAAAAGGCAAGAAACAATTCCTTTAGCAAGTCTACACAAAGAGTTGTATTGTTTTTCTCACAACCACCATTCCCTCCTCCACTGAAACTGAATCCATGACAACATGGCTTCTGCCCAACAATTCCAGTCACAAGCCCCACTGATTCCAGCCTCCTCTTCCTTTATGCTATGTACCGACTGTCATGCTCAAGTTTCACTGTCTCAAGGCAGACGGTTTTCACATCCTTATTAGGATTCTAATTCATAATTATGAGCTGAGGCATGAATACATACACCTTAATAAAAGTTTCATTTAACAGGGTTCTTGTCACTGAATTTAATTTCTACTTAAAACATATAAAAACAGAATATGAATTATCTACTTTTGACTCCCAAAATTTTGATATGTCACAGTACCATGTAACAATTACCTTTAGAAAATCCCAGTTTTTGGGTAACGGTTCTTGCAATTTTGGATGTTGTTGCGTCGCTGTAGAGATACACTTCATCCATGCTGTGCCAATCCACATGATTCCGACTCAGTTTGAAACTATGAACAGCTGCCGCACAAAAGAGGAATTTCAAGTTCTCCAAGACAGTTTTTTTTGTGTGTGAATACTCTAATACTCAGTTTCTGAACCAGTAGTAGCTAACTCAGACACCATATACTTTTAGTTCAGAAGAAAAAAGTTCATTAAAAACATTTATGTCACATGAGTAATGTATAGAATTTATAAATGCTCAACAATGCTATGAGGAACAGCAGAGGACTGGCGACACTTTATAGTATTAACCTCTTGTATGAAGGTGATATGGTTCTTGATCATCAAGCTATATCCCCAGGAGCATGGCTCCTCTTTCTGGGGGTATACGCCTATTTAAACGTTTTCAATAGCTCAGGCACAGAAACTTAAGTTCCATCCCTTTTGTTAATTTTACTAAAAACATCAAGATATTCACTCAATGAAAACAAAAAAAAAAAGAGGTTGATTTGCTCAAAAGGTAGTGATTGGCAGGGTGCCCCTGTCCTACCTAAAGATGAGCTATATATGACCCCAAATTCAGTTCTAGCCAGGTGGTGGTGGTGCACGCCTTTAATCCCAGCACTTGGGAGGCAGAGGCAGGCGGATCCTGGTCAAGACTGTAAGACATGCTGAAGTAGCATGTTCCCCATGGGAAGACATGGCATACTATAAGAAAATCCACTTCTTACATTACAAATAACTTAAAATTTTATGAAAACCAATTCTACTTTACTAGCTCTCAGAATATGTCATTGACCTGTGTGTTGTGTGAGTGTGTTTCTCACAGGACTAAAAGATTCAATTAACACAACTCACACCAACAACTTTAGTTACACAGAACACAACCACAGGTGCAGACTTTTAAATAAAAAAGCTTTTCATAAATTAAAATGGTTTAATAACTTCTGCAAGAGCTTACTAACCATTTACAAAACAAATTATTCTTAATATAGTTTTGAGCTACATATGTTAAAAAGATTGAAACTTTATGATCAAATATTTAGAGAGAAGTATAAATCTCGCCAAACTGTCCCTCTGCAAATTGTTTATATGTTTTCTTAAAGTGGAACATCTTAATATTCAAACATCTTAATGGAATGCAGTTTTCATATAGATGTATAATAATGTAAAACTACGGCAAATAGCGCAACAGACACATTTAAAAACAAAAACTAGTACTTCTAAGCTTTAAGCCAACTGAGCTAGAGCTGGGCGTAAGCTACAGAGAGCAGAACTGCAGTTACTGTACCTTGGGAACGCTTTCGCTTAAGACCTGTGGCATCTGCGCTCTCCTTATATCCTCTCCATTTGAACAGAGAAGGGAGGGAGAAGGGAGGGAGGTGGTAGACAACTAAGAAAGCAAAAACACTGAGCTTCAAAGTACATTTAAGTGAGTTTTTCTATTGCCTTTTCCTTTTAGTCTTAACTTTTAAAAACTGTATTTGACAAATATTTTTCTGAATGTTTTTAAAAATATAATTTCTAGTTAAAAATCGGTAAAACAAAAATTAGCTTACTGTCTGTCAAATATATGCTCTACTTTTATTGAAAGGAACAAAGGCAAATATTTATCAGTGACAGACAATCACACGATCATCGTTTAATTCTTTTGCGTAGTTACAAGAAATGCATGGCATTTTCGAATGCTAAGAGATTTATAAGCTCTATATTTCTGATACTAAGGTTATGGACTTCACCAGCTTTGTGATGACATAGTCAAGAGGTGATACACAGTTTGAGGATACAACCATATTTTAAAGAGCTCATTTAGCTCGCCTGAGGCACCACAGCATACACTCCACTGAATGCTCTCCAGACTTAGGCATGATGGCTTCAAGATCGTTTCAGAGCAAGGCCTCCTTTCACAACTGAGAAAGTTGTTACAAAGACAGTGAAAATTTTTTTGAAGAAAACCATACTGGAGGCTCCGATTTCAACTATCCCTTTTGGAAAGATTAATAAAATAAAAATAATCTCATTAGAAAAACATATGCTGTGACAGGCATCAAGCAGACAACACAGAAAAGTCAGGCACAGACTTGGTATCTGACAAATCAGAAGATGACCTTAAAGCCAGCATGCTCCTTGTTGAATTTGCTAGCTATATATTGCAGATAACACTCCTTACAGTTAAGTAATTGTTTAGTATACTTGAAACTGAATCTTATAAATCAGTTTACTACTTCAGTTAATTACAAAATTTTTATGGTTTAGCTAAAATTTATATTTTAATACATTCAATTTTCAACTTACTGCCTTCTGCATGAATTTGACATTCAAAGGTTAAATACTGCTCAAATTAAAAAAAAATCTTTAATTTCTCTCATATATACAATTGAAGTATATACAAATATTTATGCGGTAAGGGTTTCTGGGAAACTTTTACAAGGCATTAACAACTACACCTACACATTAAATTACTACATCTACATGCAAGTAGATGGTTTTAAAATTATAAGCTAGCTGGGGGCTGGAGAGATGGCTCAGTGGTTAAGGGCACTGACTGCTCTTCCAGAGGACCTGGATTCAATTCCTGGCACCCACATGGCAGCTCACAACTGTCTGTAACTCCAAGATCTGGCACCCTCACACAGGCATACACGAGGCAAAACACCAATGGACATAAAATACAAATAAATAATTTTTAAAAACCTAGGGCTGAAAGCTGGGTGACAGCAGACCTATAAATGCCTCTGACATAGAAGAAACAGACATGGAAGCTGGCTTCTTCCTGTCTGCTGTTCTCTCGTGTGCCTTCTGGTCAGTCACTCAGGAGCAGAGAGATACAACTAGGCCAGCAAAGATGTTAAACCACATAAAAAGCTGCTAGCACTGGTAAGGGGTCAGACCAACAGAAACTTCTAAGAAACAACGACTAGATTTTTTAAGTCCAGTGGTGAAATGAACCTGCACCAAATCCCACATTCAGGACACACTGGGACATTATGACATCAAGTGAGCACTTTCAGAAAGCTGGTCAGACCCAACGATGAATTCTCAGCGCTATGAAGATAAACACATTACAAAGCTCTTCACTGCCAACAGAAAACTGCGCTTATGGAAACATTTCATGTAATTAAATGGCTGCGGCTCTTGACCATGACACTGTATTTTCACTTCAAAACCATTGACCAGGGAGCTTAGCTCTTTTTAACCGCTGACACAGAATTACAGGCATGACTTCTTGTTAGCATTCAGTTAGTGACTCCTGTGCACTATTACAAAAGTGTGCACACACTCACAGCGCAGCTGACGGTGCGGCTGTAGAAGCTGATAGCATTAGTAAGACGTCCACATATCAGTCTTGTTCAGTAATGAAAAAAGACTAAAGTTTTAAATTATTTAGAATCATTTCCTTACTAATTAATCTCTCAAAGAACCTTTCTTCATCATGTAACTCTGAATTCAAAAAGTGGACAGGATAATAATTCCTACAAGAGAGACACACAACAACTCTTCCCTCTATGAAAACTAACTGTCTGGAAAGTTAGTATTTACTCTTTCCTACATAGCACTTGCCCAGGCTGCCTCAAATGATCCTTTGCTGAGTTTCCTTTCCAAGCAATCAGGGTCCCAGATGCCTAGTACTGATCTGGAAAATTCTTTCTCTCAGGGAAAGCAGGTGGCCCTGCGCATCTCAAACTTGATAACTACAAGTAAACTCTAGCATTCTTTCTTGGACCTCAGGTAAATTAAACAAATTAATAAAAAAAAGTTAAATCAAAAAATCATAACCCCAAACTAGAAGATGGGAATCCTCAGTCACCAAAGGCAGAGGAGAAAGGTGGTTAACGGGCCAGAACGCTCCCATTCACCCCTCTCTCTTCTGAGAGAGGGTCTCACTATGTAGCCCTGGATGTCCTGGCACATGCTATGTAGATCAGGCTATTCTCAAACTCATGGACCCCCATCTAGAACACCAGATTTTACTGTGCTGTTGGGTCTCCTCAGTCTCCCCTGCCTGTGACAGTCTGAACAAAGCAGGGCCATCTTATTTGTTGTGTGGGAAAACAGCCCTCAGTTTCAGTTTGTCTTATGCCCTTTTACTGCAAAATTTGAGGTTGTGCATTTTGTGGCCAGAGTGATGCACAATATTAATGCATTTAAGTTAACTTCTAAAAACGACTGCATATGCTTGGATAAACTATAAGGGAACACAACAACTATTCAGCACTAAATGTGTTTACACAATCTCTCTCCCTCCCTCCCTCCTTTTTTTCTTTCTGAGACAGAGTAGCCTGTCTCAGTAGCTTAGTGCAGCCCTAGAACTCGCCCTGCAGACCAGGCTGGCCTCAAACTCACAGAGATCCACCTGCCTGTGCCTCCTAAATGCTGGGATTAAAGGCGTGCGCCACCACCCCCTGGCAAGAATTACTAATTTGAAGGCACAACTGTATTATATTAGTCATCTTAAGTAAATGGATAGGCTCAAATGTATCACTGTATTAGATAAAATTTTCCTAGCCTTGGGATTGGACAGAAGGCCCAGTGGTTAAGAGCACTTACTGCTCTTGCAGAGGACCTGGGTTTGGTTCCCAGCACCCAAATGGCAACCTTTTCTGTCCCTGCTGGGCTCCTGCACACAAGTGGTACACACATCCAGGTACTTTTACTCCCCTAGTTGTTAGATGAAGTAGAAGAGCTTTTTCATTTCAGTTCTTAAAGAATTCAGTTTCAAGGATCTAAGTTACAAAGTGGGTTATCTTTATTTGCATAGTTACATCAGACTTCCATCAATCTAGTTCAATGTTCATTTTGAAATTAGTATGAAGAATCTAAAGAAGGTAAAAACTTAACCACACATAGTTCATTTGTGGCAAGAGCTACACTGAACAGACATGGTCAGAACAGTGAGGAGCAGTCTATTACTTAGTTTAGAGCTCCTGAAGGTAAGAACTTGGTTTCCTTGGAAGTCCCTAGAATACGAACGAATTCCGGCTTCTAGAATTTTTAAACATTTGTATTTATTAGATGAGACTTGACAGCCTGTTAATAACTCCATGAACTTTATTCCACTGGGCTGCCTTGCACTCAGTCTGGTAACTATTCTGCGGGCTCTCTCTTCTCTAAGATATCCTGGAAACTCCCACAAAAGTGCCCAGCAGAACTGGGAGGCATTAACAACAATCTTGACAAGGGAAGAGTCAAAGCTTTATAATCACACATGAAAATATTTAGGTGAAAAAGGTATTTTTTCATCCCCCAAAGAGAGAAACAGAAAATTTCAGAAGTTTAGAAAGATGAAATAATCTGAAGGCATACATATTTTTTGTTAAATGTTTTAAGTTTGAGGTATTTTTCCGTAAATGATGGCTTTCTGGAGGGTAAATGATGTTTTTATAATACCAGCTGTAAAATATACTATCAAATTTCCCATGATGTTCAAAGTCAAGTGTCATTTTAACCTCAAGTATATATTTATCATAATACCAAAAAATAGATGAAAGGACTGAAAATTATTGAACAATATGATAAATCTTTATATACCACAAGACAGCCAGCATCCTCAACACAAAGTTGAGTGGTGATGGATGCCTGTAATCTTAGCACACGGGGGGTAGAGGTTAAGAGATTATTCTGTTATGCACTGGACTACATGACACCATCTCAAAAAAAAAATCAGTAACAAAAATAAAAGCTTTGCAGAGCAGGGCAGCGGTGGCACACACCTTTAACCCCACAGCACTCAGGAGGCAGAGGCAGAGGCAGGTGGTTCTCTCTTAGTTCCAGGCCTGCCTGGTCTACAGAGCTAGTTCGAGGAGAGCCAAGGCTATGTACCAAAGAAACCCTGTATCAAAAAACAAAAACATAACTTGTAGCCAGGTGGTGGTGGCGCATGGCTTTAATCCCAGCACTTGGTGGGGAGGCAGAGGCTGGTGGATCTCTGAGTTCAAGAACAGCCTAGTCTACAAAGTGAGTTCCAGGACAGTCAGGGCTACACAGAGGCACCCTGTCTCAAAAAACAAGACAAAAACAAAAAAATTAATACATACATACATAAAAATTTCTTCTAATGAACTTCAAGAAATCATTTTAAAAATTTTTAAAAAATGCAATACATTCCCCCCCCCTTTGATGTAGCCCCAATTGTCCTAGAACTTGCTATCAGGCTGGCTTTGAACTCATGAGGGTTGGGATTAAAGGTGTGAACTAACATGTTATTTCTAATTAGAACTTCATGTGGATGCTTAAATACATTAAACAATATTGTTACACTAGTACCCACCGAAAAACCTACTCATACAAATACACTTTCTTCCCCCCAGACAGGGTTTCTCTGTGTAGACCCAGCTGTCCTGGAACTCCTCCCAAGTGCTGGGATTAAAGGCATGCACTACCACTGCCCAGAATAAACTGTGTTCTTAGGTATATTAAGTTTGGGCACTTTGCAGAAGACTGAAGTATTTGTTACATTTAATATTTAGGAAGAGAGCAGAATAGAGAATTCACGTGAAAGTTAATTTCACTGTGAATACGATTCTAAACAGGTGAGATGTGGATGACAGCTGCTGACTAACTCTGGGCAGAAGGAGACAGCTCCCTTCTAATCTGCATACCCCCCATTCTTCCCAGCCCTGGAGCTTTTAAGCACTAACCTAACAGTAAGGAAAGGGGGAGACAAAAACTGTTTGCTATGCGAATTGCTATTTCTGAGGTAGAAGACTTAAAGAGGAAAACAGTTCCCAAGCTCCACTTTGTCCAATAGCAATGTAACTGTTATGACAACGGTTCTGCCATTCATACACTGTGAAGTGGGCTTGTGATGACTCTGGCAGTAGTGGTGAGAGATTTCATTCCTTAACTCCAATCTCAGGTAAATTTTCAATTCTTGCTGCACTATTTCTAGTTATTGAAGTATTACCTGCAGGCATCGGCAGCTGCAGCTCTTAGAGAGCCCTGCTTTGTCTACACTGATGGGTGAAATCTTCAGCCTAACTCTGACAGCAAAACAAGGATATACTTGAATCTACAGATTAATAAAATGACTCAAGAGTATGGTACCTGCAAATTGCAAAGTATCATATAAATGACGGATTTCATTGGTAATTTATGTGGAAATCATGTTTCTTTAGTTAGCCAGACTTAACTGAGTAGACACAAGAGCTAAGGCAGCGTTAGCTTCTTTCCTTGTGACCGATGTGTGCATCTCTGTGTGTTCAGCGAGATGACAGACAATAAAGAACAGAAGCAGAGAGGGAAACAATGGGCCAAAAGAGAAGAAACTGGGATACAAGGTCTGAAAACAGTGAAGAGCTATATTCTGTGAATTACCTCATCAATACTGGGCTGCTTGGCTTTCAAGTTTACAGGGAAAGGGAAATGATCACTCCAGGTTAACTTCAATTCACTAGGTTCAGCAGGGCTTGCCAAAAGCCTCCCAAACAGAGGCAAGCAAGAAAAAGACACACTCTTGAGTATCTACGTATTCTAAGCTACCTGGGCGTTGTACTCACCAGAATAGTTGATCCCACTGCCTGCATTAAATGGAATAATAGAAGGGTTTTTAACTTTACCACATATTTTAAGGTTTATTCAAGATTCAGACACATACTGAAAACATGGCAATCTTGGATATTCTATAACATCTAATTGTTGAAACATATTTACTTTCTGAGTAAGGAAATGTAAGAATACTGTTTTAAATTAAAAACTGGTATTATCTTCCAGAGAGTGTTAAAATACACACAAAAGCAAGGCTGACTTAAAATCCAGGAAAAGAATCAACATTAAAATACTAACGAAAGTGCTTTTTTATATTAACAGAAGGATTTTTTTAATAAGTTCTATTTTCAGTGATAACTCAAATGCCCCAAATGACTACCTTGGAGTATAATATAAACATTTTGTGCCAATATTAAAAAGTTTGTTAGTATCATGCAATTAAAACATATGCATTAAGTAAAATAACCCAAATATTCACAGAAACTTTAAATTCCAGAATAGTAACGTGTTTTAAAAACCAAATTTTAGGGAGCCTAGGCAGTTTGGATGCTCAACTTACTAGACCTGGATGGAGGTGGGGGGTTCCTTGGACTTCCCACAGGACAGGGAACCCTGATTGCTTTTCGGGCTGAGGGTGGGGGGACTTAATTAGGGGAGGGGGAGGGAAATGGGAGGCGGTGGCTGGGAAGAGACAGAAATCTTTAATAAATAAATAAATAAAAAAAACAAACAAACCAAATTTTAGACACAGGGTAGAACTTGTGTCTAGCATGCATAAGGCCTGGTCCCCCAGCACCTCAAAAACTGTCAAATTTAGTAAATTCTAATCCCTCTTAAGTTACTATTACCGAACTTACCAACTACTGAAAGATTACTTACTTCTACAGAACGTATTAAATTGGTCATCTTACCGTCTTTTCCATCTAGGGGTTTTGATACTTCTATATCAAAGTTTTCTTGCATCTGCTGACCTCTAAAACAATTGAGATGTTCTTGTTCAATTAAATTACTTTCTTCTTCTTCTAGAGGCTGCCAAGTTCCATCAATAAACCACTGTCCACGCATTACTGGTATTTTATCAGCTTCTGAAAAGAGACATCACAAGATCAACCTCCCAAAAGGAGACTTAGCTACAATTTTATTATGTTTTACTATTGTTATTCTCCAGGCTTTAATGACCAATACAATCATTTCAAGTAAAAATAAATCCAAATTTCAAGTCAGGGTGTAATTTTCCTGTTTCTTTCAGGCAGGGTCTCACTCTGGAGCTTTGGCTGGCCTGGAACTCACTGAGTAGACTAGGCTGGCTTCATGCCTGCAGCCACTTTCTGGCCTCTGCTCCAAGTGCTAGGTATGGTAAGTATGAAACACCACATCTGGTTGGAGTTTTTTCTTACAGATATCAAGACTAAATTATTCTACACATTACCTAAGCTGCTTTACCATTTGGAAGATAGATGAGCAACTATCTATATATTTGAGGTACTAAACAACCCAAATTTGGAGGTTAAAGGCCTTATTGTAAGCCTTTGAGGTAGTCTGAGTGTAATTGGCCCCCATAATCTCATTGGGAACGGCACTATTAGGAGGTTTGAGTTTGGCTTTATTGAATTGGGTATAGCCTTGTTGGAGGCAATGTGTCACTGTGGGGGTAGGCTTTGAGGTTTCCTTTGCTCAGGATACAGTGTCTCAGTTGACTTTCTGTTGCCTGCGTACCAAGATGCAGTCAGCACTATCTGGACGCCGGCCATCATGTGGATTGAACGTCTGAAACTGTAAGCCCTCCTAATTAGCAGTTTTCTTTATGAGAGTTGCAGTGGGGAAAGGTACACGGCTCCTTTTGGCAGATGAGAACTGGCTTCACAAGTTCCTGAGGAATGCTGGCTTATCTAACTGCCTTTAGAAAGCCTTCCTGCCATAGTCCAGGCTGAGTTTATTTCTAGATATCTGGACTGCCTCTTAGAGTTTGGGGAATTGGAGTCTCCTTTGACCCTGAAAATCGGGACTTAGAACTTTGACACAAATGGGCTATAGATATAAAAGAAAAAAATTGTAATTACAAATTTCAATTAGGAATATCATCGTTAACTACAGAGGGCCTTCTCTCTTAAAAAAAAAAGACACAAACCAAGTGCATGTGAGAGGCTGTACCCTGAGCTGAGAGGATCCCACAGCACCCGCTCTCCCAGAGATCAAGACACCTGAACAAAACGGCTGATTCTGGGCTGAGAGGGTCCCACAGCATCTGCTCTCCCAGAGATCAAGACACCTGAACAAAACGGCTGATTCTGGGCTGGGCAGGAAATATGTCAGATGATCTCATGTGTTTCCTTCTATCAGACTTGTACTATGATGTATTTAAAGTTTCTGTTAGAAGATCTCCCAGCGTAGCCCTGGTTGGCCCAGGAAAGGCTTTGGAGTGTTGGAATCCCACTACCCTGGCTCCCATATGTGCGTCTTCTAATACTCTCCAGAGATTCCGCACAATGCGATACTGTGTTAGAGCACACACTGCGAACAGAGCTTCCCAAGCCCTGCGTGTGTGCTGTTATGTTACTGGGGGGTGAGGTGGGAGGTCTGAATTGTACTTTTGATACTGAGGCTGAAGCCAGACTTCTCTCCATCAAGCTGTGGTAGCTGCACATCTTTTGAATCACTGTGTTCTACATATGCCTCAAATACAGCACTGAACTGGGTTTTGCAGAAAAAGTTGTGTGAAGTTTTCTTTTGAATAAGACAATGTCCACCAATATGATTAATATATCCAAACTCAACTTCTTGTTCTTCTGTAATTAGCATCTTTATTCTTCAAACTTTCCTTGCATAGTATTTCCACTCTCTGAATTAGGAAGACTAGGAAAGCATGTTTCTCATTCAAGTAGTTACCTGTGCGTATATTATTGTAAATCTTTTTTGCTTACTTAAAATTTTTACCACGTGGTCAGTCTATTTTAAATAGTATTTATGAGTCCCACTTACTACATACGCAATAGGTTATTATTATTTTCTCTTTGTCTGGAATAAAAGTGTTGGAAACTTACGTTTTATTCATGGATATACATTAAAATAGAATTGTGTGTTACACACCTTCCAATCTGTCCACCTGATGCTGGAAGGGCAGGTTAGCCAGCTCAGGCTCTGAAAGTGCTGCTGTATTGCATGTGTAATGGTCTGCTCTGTCCTTTTAAGAGACAAGCCATGCCCACTCCCTCCCCCATCCTCCAAGGCAAGCTGATCTTCAGCTTCCAGCCTGAGTCCCTTCCTTTTCCAACTCCTCTCCCCTTCTCCTCCCCTCTCCCCTCTCTCAGAGGCAGCTTCTGTCTTTCCCTTCTTCCCTTTCCCCCTCTGTTTCTCTCTCTCTGTGCTCCCTTTCCCCTCCATAACTCACCAAATAAATATCCAACTTCACTCTGCATGGCATGCCTATCCATGTCTCTGTCTCGCGCCTGCCGGGTGGCTCCCTGCCCAGGCCCAGCTGCTTTCAGAGACCTGCAGTGTGGTCTCGTGGTGTGCCCATCTGTTTGTCTCTCCTCATGGGACTGGCTGCCCCACCGAGGTCTCTCACCCACCACGTGGCTCCCTACCTGGGACTCGCTGCCCCTCGTGGCCCACTGCAGCCACTTGGGGAACTGCGCTGTCCCTGCCTGAGACTGGCTGCTCTCAGGACCCGCTGCCTGCTGCCTCGGGGGAGACCTGTAGTGTGGTCTCAGGATCTGTTGCCTGCTGCAGCCACTCGGGGACCAACAGCATTTTACTTTATGGTTTAAACCATAACAGCATGTATCTTGAACACGGCTCTAACTTTATTAGTGACTTCTGCCCCCCTTACAGGTCCAGACAGAAACAACTATCTTTAAAGTCTAACATCACCCAACACGCTGACTCAGAGCTGTTCTGGCTCTTCCATGGTTGGCCACTTTTAAAGTTCCCCTTCCTTGCTTTTGCATCCTACTTTCACAACCTTGATTATTTTCCTTTTCACCAAAGGCTCTTATTAGGTTTTGAATTTATTCTCCCTTGGACAGCTTATATTATCTTTCCTTCAACTTTGTCTTAAGGTTCCTATGCTGTGATTAAACACTATGATCAGAAGCAGCTTGGGGAAGAAAGGGTTTATTTCATCTTACAGTTTACAGTTCGTTGTGAAGGGAACTCTGGGTAGGAATTCAAGGCAGGAACTGGAACAAAACCATGGAGTAACAGTGCTTCCTGCCTTGCTCAGCTTGCTTTCTTAAACAAGCCAGGGGCACCTACCTGGTGCACTGCCCACAGTGGACTGGGCCTAACCACATCAATCATTAATAAAGAAAATGCCTTAGAGATTTGTCTACAACCTAGGCAGATGGAAGCATTTCCCCAATATGTATAAGGTTGTTCAAGCTGACAAAAATCAAAGAACACAAACTTCTTTCCCAAGTTCAATAAAATCTTGCTGCATTTCTTCCCGTGTCTATTGTCTTAGCTTTGGAATATATGCCTTAAGTGGCTCTCTTTGCCCTTTCCCTTTCCCCATGGTCTACCCCCACACCCCGCCATCCTCAGCTTCCTCCTTCTCTTCCTTCTTTACTAAGCCTACTTTTCTCTACATGGATAATTTTCTTTGATGCTTTAAGTAGTCAAACTTATTTTTATTTATATTATTGTCTGGCATTTTCATACATGAGTATTACATTTTCATTTCAACCACATCCTTTCCCTGTTCAACTCCTCTCAAATTTATGACCCATTTATCACTGTTACACACAAACACACACACACACACACACACACACACACACACACACCATTTGCGAGTTTATTTAGTGATGCTCGTATGTACAGATGTTCAGGGCTGACCACTTGGGACTGGATAACCTCTCAGGGGTTTGGCTGGAGATGGATTCAACCCTCTCAGCAGTCAGTCACTGCCTACAGCTTTCCATTTAGAGCTGGCACCTTTTGAGGGTTTCCTACCCACACTGGGATCTGCGGATCACTCTGTGTGGGCTTTGTGCTAACCACTTTATCCTCCCCTTTCTTCAGTGCCGTAGGCCTTTGTGTGCCCACTCTGTGCACTCACGGGTTTGCAGCAGTGATAGGAACTGCTGTAATTTGCTTCCTTTATATAAAAGTAATTAAAGATGCATACTACTGTCTGTCTTGCTAAAGGTGTGAGCTCTGTGTGTGTGGCCCTTCCTGGCAATTTAGGTTTAGAGAGCTGTTACTACCTTCCAGATCAAGCAGTTTATCTCATTTAATCTTAACTGTAATCTTAATTGTTTCTCCTTCTTCCAAAGCACAGCTGGGTCTTAGAGAAAACACATCACCTGTTCCAACACATAGAGCTGGTAACATGAGAACCAAGATTCCAACAGAAGTCTGTCTACTATCTTCACTTGAGCTATTTTCAACTACATGGTGCAGCTTTCCAGAGAGGAAAGGCACCTGCTTAGCCCTCTCTCTCCAAAACACAGGCTCTTGAGTTGTGTTGAGTCATGAAATAACCACCCAACACTTTGACTTCAGGGGAAAAACAAAACACTACACCACACAAATCTGTTCCTTCCACCTGTGTTGCTCAGCACAGTGAATGGAACAGCACCAGCTTTGGGTGGGTCACCCAAGATGCCTCTTCCTACATCCTTTTACAACTACAGCTCAACGCTATGTGTGCTTCCTGTCTCTCAAAAATCATGCGCCAATTGGGCTGAGAAGAAAGCTCCATGAACAAGCAACCATATAAAAGCCAGGTGTGGTTCCAGGTGCAAGAAACCCCAATACTGGGGGGGGGGGGGAGGCATACTCCAAGGGATTGCTGGTCAGCTAGCTATCTCAGAGGAAGAAGGAGAGTGACAGAGCCATGCCAGCCTCTGGATGTGTGCACATGGCTATCGACCCACTTAGCCACCACCAATGACCATAATAAAAAAACACATTTGACCTCAAATCACCTCTTACTCACCAGGATGTCTTGGTTCTTGTTTGTTTAGCTTCAGAGGCCCCTACTGAAACCTAGAATGACTAGTGTCAAGTCCGTTAACAGTCTCACACCTCTTATGCTTAGTTGTCAGCATGTGCGTGCATTAAGTACATGTATTCCTGCACA